TTCTTTCCAGAGTCTCACGAAGTACAACCATTAATACCATGAATCCGCCCTTGAGACCCTGTTAACGCCTGGTCTGGATAACACTCGTCTTTTCATGAGTCTTACCGCTGGAGCTGGAACTAGATGCATGAGTCTTCTGTCTTCATCTCCAAGTCTAGGGTCTTTTCCCAATTATTATAATACGGGCTTATTGGTACTAAGAATTTATTACTTTCATCCTCTAATACACTTTCTCTTTTTCATCTACGTTTAATATTTATTGGTATTCTTCTTACCTTTTCCCCAATGTATTTCTTAGGATTTAATGTTATGCCAAGAAGAATCCCATCCTTTCCAGATTCTTTTAATTCCTGGAATTCCCTGTCATCTATTGGATCAGGAATAACTTTCCTATCTTTTGGTTCACTTCGTTCATTCATTCACACGGGCCAGTAATATAATATGAGGCCCGTATTATAATTATAGTGTTTACATAATTCCCGGGCTTATAAAGAGAAGAAAGTTGCCCGGGGGTTCGTTTCACTTCGTTTCACTTCGTTTCACTTCGTTTCACTTCACTTTATATTACTTTATTAATATTATTGTCCCGGGCTAATATAATAATAGTACCGCCCGGGGTGTATTAATATTAGAATGAAGAGAACGTAGTGAGCGCATTAATAATACTAATAATACGGGCTTACAGTATTCTTATGTTTGCCCGTGGATGCGGCCCTATTTAGTATATATTATGTGGCCGCAGTAATAATATAAGGTGAAGATAACATGAACAGATACTAGAATAATAATACGGTTTTTATAATAGAAATAGTGTACGGTCGCTACAAAATAAGAAAGAGAAGAAAGCGCCCACTTCGTTCACAACAAGCCCCAATTTCATGCGTCTTTTTATTCCTTATAAATAGGGGCTTATATTGCTCTCTTCGTATTCTCTGGAACAACTTGACAATTCCTGGTGATCCGTGAAGAGACGAACGAAGAGAGGAAAGAATAATGAATCCTGGTGCTGGAACTCCTTTAAAGGGGAGAAAGGTCAAGGGGCTCTTTGCAGCGGTCCTCAGCTCACTCATGAAGGATTTAATGGGGAAAGCGTGAATCTCTAATGCACAGGTTAGCCGCTCAGTTGTTACACCTTTTGGACAACAATAACCAACTCTCTGATCCAGCGGTCATGTCTCCCAAAAGCACCCGTGTTCTTGTCCACATGATCACCCTTTCCTTGAGACCTTTTATTCATGGTTGTACGAAGAGAAAGAGTGAATAAAATGTAAGGAGCGAAGTGAACATGTGAACGAAACGACGCACGATTTTAATTAAGCACCCGGCGCAGAGTCATCAATCACATCATGGGGCACCTGACCAGGTTGCATCTGAGTGAATGGAAGCAAAGTCCAACAAAGAGCCCAACAAAGAGCGCGCGTGCGTGTGCGCGCGCACGCACACGCAAACGCACACGCACACGCACACGCGCGCCCACACACGCGCCCACACGCGCGCCCACACGCGCACCCACACGCGCGCCCACACGCGCGCCCACACGCGCGCCCACACGCGCGCCCACACACATATACACACACACACACACAGAAACAGAGACGCAGACACTAAAAATCTACATACTAGATCATGCTAGGCCATGCAGCACCCTCTCCTACACAGCCTGCTGTGGCTCAAACTGTACCCCTTGCCAACCGAACATGCCAGCACCAACGAAAGAATGTGGTAACCCGGCCTTGTGATGCTCCTCAGAGAGGAGCAGGTGTAGAAGCCGCTGGGCTGTAGCATCAGGCGCTAGCTCCATGGCCACGAAGAAGCACGGCGTAGCCCGGCACTCACCGGTTTTTGTCTTTGGAAGGTTGGTGATGTGGGGTAGTGGGGGGGGGGGGGGTGACTCAGCATCACGGATCATGAGAGCTAAACGCAGCCCACCTGCCGATTTCGTTAGGGGTTGGTTGGTCATCCCCAGCATGCTCTTGGATGTTCTCCTAGTTCAGCTCCGAGCACGGATGGCAGCAAAAATGCTCGAGAGCTGAGATCTTGGGAAAATGTACGGTAGCAGCTGTAAACATCTAAGACTGTTTGGGTGTGTCTGTGTGTGACTGTGTTCTCGCCTCGAAAGAGAAAAGAAAATATTCTTCAACAAAGGCTCTGGCTCTTTCCAGATGAAAGGGCAGTGCTATCTGCATTTGCCCAGGCGACACAGCGCTTGTCGCAAGTACGTCACGGCGTGAAAGCCCAGCCCAGAGACGCGGGATTCGGGTCTTTGACTGGGAGCCGTTTCCTTTATTCGGGGGTGGGGGGCGGGCAGGGGTGTTTGCAAAGAGCGCGGCTTTCTTGCAAACCATGCCAGAACATGCCAGCGTTGCAAAAAGCGCCCAGGAATTGTTGAAGACTCATGTTTGTTGAGCTGCACCCACATCCGGCGGTTCATCACCAAACAGCAGACCAGCATACAAACTTTCTGCCGCAGGGAGCTGTGCCAACGCAAACCAGAGCTGAATCATAGATGGAGACACACATTTGCATCTTTTCTTTGCGCACATTCGCAGTGCATGTTTCTGACAGGAGCAACATCTCTGCTGCCACCTTCTCAAAGTTCGACGCGTCGAACCTCATGGTCAGTAAAAACAAGCTTTGGTCGTGTTGCTTCGGTGCTACTTCTCCGGATGTCAGAACCAGCTCCGAAACAAAGCTTCCGATGTTGGAAATGCTGCACGGCAACGGTAAGGAAGGGCAAGAAGCACAAACACTCCCACGTGAGAGACAGATTCAGGTTGGATGCACGACGGCAGAATTCCGAAAGGCAACAACACTACGTCATCGCCCTGACCCTGGCAGCTACAAAGTTAATACATGACTACAAAGCGTATTCGCGCATCATGACAAAATCATGTGTACTGCCGGGTGCCACCGCCCGCCGGCCCACAGGAAATCGCACACCACATCGTCGAGCCTCAGTCCCCGCCAACATAGACCACCAAAGACTCCAGGCGAGTGCAGGCAACAGCGCCTGGCTCGAGTTTTTTGCAACAGGTGCACTCCATTTTGGTCGCAATGACCCCGAGCAACCCGAGCAGTTTTAGAGATTGCTGAAAGTACACCTCATCCCCCGCCGAAAACCCATCAGCACAGGCTGCAGCGTCCTGTAACTGGTCTCGAGCACTGCAGCCTCAGCATTGACGAACGCCTCCTTGGTGAAAGGGCCGCCGTGCCCGAAACCCTGTGTGTCATTACCGACATTGCAGTTCAAATCAGCTAGGAACCCTAGATCTTTTTGACTTCCAGGAAACGCCAATGTTTGAAGCAAAAACACGGCGAAGTCCTGAAAGCATTGGAGAGAAGGAGCTCATGAGTCGTGAGCTTGTCTTAGAAACAAACCAGTCTGAGGACTTCTGCCTTGCAGGACTTCCTACAAGCCAGCACCAGGGTCAGTCAAAATCAAGCCTCACCTCTCCCTCCCCGTAGCCCTCACGGAGTCACGAGGTCAGCCGCAACATCATCACACGAAAAAGGTGATGAAGTCTACGATCGCGTCCACCGTGTCATTCAGAGCAGTGTCTCCATCTTGACTATTGTCCAACTTCAGGATCGGCATCTTGAGGCCCTCGAGCTCTTCGCTCTGGAACTCCAGCAACTCCTCCAGTTTCTCCCCGGTGGCCTTGGAGAGCTTCCCGGCGTCTGCCTCCTCATCCTGGAAGGGCAACGTGGAAGTTTGGAATTTTGCTCTGCGCCTCACCATGGTTGCAGCATCGATCTTCAGCAGCACCAAAAGGACGGTCCCTCCCTCTCGCTCCTGTCGAACGGCATCGACCGCGCGCTTGAGTAAGTCTCCGTGCTGCTGCGGACGACGGGTGAGTGCCCAAACGAAATTCCCCAAGTGCCACGTCTCCACCACCCTCGACGTCAAGGTGCTCATCCGATCCCGATCCCGGTCAACTTCCGCCTGATGGATCGTATCGTCCCAAGCCTCGCGGTACTTGCCCTGCTTCTCTTGGTCTCCTCGCAACGAAGTACCCAACTCCTCATCCGATACCCACTGCATTCTCTCGGCCAGAATCTTTCTGATAGTGCTCTTCCCGGCCGTGTGGGTGCCCATTAGGACCACCGTGGCCTTTCGGGCCCTTGACTGCTCCCAAGACACCTCCAAGTGCTGGGGGGAAAAGGGCAGCACAGCTCTGGGGCCCTCCCAAAGCCTGGAAGATGAGCGCTGCCACTCGCATCGACGGGTGCCTCCCGGAGCGGGCGGATGTCCAATGAGAACCTCCATCCGGTGTGGGATGAAGATGTAAGCAGTAGACGGTCCGTCTCGAGTATCATCAGCTCGGGTGCCCAAAACCGCCTCTTGGTCTGACAAGGCCGCCCGTTGCTTGGCCCCATGGGTCCCATGGGTCCCCTCATGCTGCGTCTGCTGCGTGGTCTCCGCGATCTCCTTGCACCTTTGCATGGCACAGGCCAGGCTGAAGGGTGGCGGCGGGGATCCCCATCTCATCTTCCTGACCACACCTTCACCCCTCCACTGCTGTTGGAAGGGGTAGCTTCCAAGCAGCAAGACCATGGAAGCAAGAACCTCCTCACCTGCTTCTCCAGTTGCACCGCCAGCGCTGCCCAAGCTGAAGAAGATGAACCCGGTTTCTGTCACGGAGTGTATTCCCAGGTTCCGCAGAGATGGGGGGGCGGCCGCAGAACGATTGGAAGTCGCGAGCTGGAAGGACCATGGGATGTGTTTCCCTCTCCTCCCCAACTGCCACTTCTTGTCATGCGCGATGTCCCCCAAAAGCCCTTCCTTCCTCGCGACATTCACCAGACAGCGAAGAGGATCTGCACCCAGCACCTCCAAATCTGCAGTGGAGGGGAACAAAGCCTTGTCGATCCCATCCTTGGCCGCATTTAGCAATTGCTCCTCGCTGAGCCCATCCACCCTCAGACTGATCTGCTCCACATCAAGCTTCTGCAAAGCCTTGCAAATCTGCTCCACATCAAGCTTCTGCGAAGCCTTGCAAACCTTCGCAAGTTCGGGGCTTGCGGTATCCTGGACACAGGTCACATTGAGTCTGGGCTTCAGTAAGCCTGTTGGCCAAACGAGGACGTCGTCGGACCCAACACAGCAAACTGCCGAAGAGCAGAAATTCGCAATGATAAACACTAGGGGCTGGCGCTCGGCCATGCAGGCATCCTTGCATTCCTGCACAGCCATGTACGTGGAAACCACGTCGAATGCCGTGGCTGCAGCCCCTCCAATCTGGTCGAAAATGCCTTTGACAGTGCTCAACGATGCTGGTGGGTTGCCTGCCACATGAATGGACCCGGAGTACATCTCCCCCAGGTCTCGAACGAAACTCTCACCTTCATGTCTGGCAGCAATGCATTCCACGCTGACGATGATGGGTTTGTACCATGGGCTGTTGACCTCGTAAGTCTTCTGCAGGTTATTCAACCTCCCATAGAAGGCTTCAACGTAATTCCACTCTTCTTCCGCCGTGTGTGATTCGAGTTTTGCCACTGTCGTAGCCGATCTCAATTCACATGCCGCTGTGGAAAGATCGAGACAAGGGCCAAAGCAGCCGAGCCTCTGTTTCTTGCCGCCAGCATCCATGCTTCCAAGCTAATCGTGCACTGGACTCAGATCGCGAAGCAATCCGCTGCCAACTCCAAACAAGCTCAAGGTCTGAACTTCCAATTTGTACAGCAAGAAATCCATCACGGAGTCTCAGCATTCGAAGCAATCAAGCAGTCACTCAGTTGAAATCAGGATTCAAGGTTGTAAGGCCGTCAGCCAAGGGTCAGATTAGGTTTCCACTGGAAAAATAAGTAAATGAGTACCACCCATCAAAGCAAGTCCGCCCCTAGCTTCCCGTGCAATTGTCTTCACCATTCCCCCTGACCTGGGTGCAGCGCTGCGCGAGTCGGCTCGTCTCGCTCAATGCCTCGCAGGTGCCCCAGCTCGTTTGTCTGCCCGTGCTGTTGCAAACTACTTGCAGTCGAGCGCTATACCATGCTGCGCGATAACGACGTGCAAAGCAAAAATATAAACTGAGAAAAAGAACGAGCTCCCAGGTGCAACAGAAAGAGCTGCAGACAAATCGCTCTTTATGCGAATGAAAAAATGGATAAGGCCGAGAACTAAGCAGTACGACGTCATATAAGCACGTAGCACAACATGTGATCAACGATGCCAAAGTCCAAAAATCACGCACTTCAATTTCTCGACAAAGTCCGAGTTTCGAGAAAACATACATTGAACCAATATTATGGTGTTCCATAGATTGGAAACACCATGGAACACCATGGTAACACAATGAAAGCACCATGGAAAGACACCATGGAAAGGCACCATGGAACACCATGTAAACACCATGCAAACACCATTCAAACACCGGAAGCATCATGCCAACCATCATGCAAACACAATAGACACACTATGGAAACAGCATTGAAAAGCACAATTGAAACACCATGACAACACAATGGAAGCACCATGGAAGTACTATGGAAGCCCCACGGAAACACCTCTTCCAAACGAACAAACCGACAGCATATTTGGCTGGTGGCCAAGCTTCAGGCTCCACCAAGCCGGGGCAGCAGTGCATCACGATGCCCGCCCGCGTCTCTCAGCTCCTGTGGTTGTTGGGGGTCACATGGGTCACTCCTGGTCTTTCTTCCCTTCTTCCCAGCTTGTTCCCTTCTTGTCTCTGCTGTGCTAGCTCTTCTCTGCTCCCTCTCTCGACGCCCCGTGCACTCCAGCGGCGCATCCATGCTAGCGTTCCGTGGAGATTGCCGGGCTATGCCGTGACTGCCAGAATGCTCAGTGTTGGGAAGCACATGATGGGAGCCAACCCAAGCTCAATCAAGCTCAACCACCCTCAACTCTTGAGATTCCCTACACTCAGCCTCTAGGAAACCTTCTGGGTGCGACTGGTGAGACGCATCCGAAGGCTGTCATGAATGAATGAATGGGTGCGACTGGTCCTCAATGCTGGCAATGCCCAAGTCACGAGGGGTTCCTGAACAGGACTGGAAAGGAGCAGTGAGTGAGGAGTGCACATAACTGAAAGGCAGGGTGTCATCGTCCCTTACAGGCATCACGATGTGCAAGCAACAGGTTTTGAACAGCAAGGGTATGCGTCGTCAACGAATTAGGACAATGCATGTTCAAAAGGCCACCCATGCACATCTATTGCACTGCAATAGTACTACAGTACTATTAGTATCAATATAGTACTATGACACAATAGTACTACAGTAGTACTAGTATCATTATAGTACTATGACACTAGTACACACTATCCGCCGATTTCCTAAGGGGCTGGCGTCCGTGAAGTCTTCGTCTGTCCGTGTAAGCTATCCTCTCATAGCCTACACTTTGCCCAACCCTCTTCCCCCCTTTCCACCCCGTTCAGAGGTTGACCTTGCCCGCGGGATTCGCGATTGCAGCGTACTGTAATTGTATGAAACAAGGGGCGGGCAGCGCAGGCAGAAGCTCGAGGAGAGTTGTTCTGCAAACCGGGACGGGGCGCCCCCCCGCCTGCCCGCCCGCCCGGCGTGCGTTCCGATGGTCCTCTGTAGGCTTTCGTAGTCGGAACGCACAGGTTTGGCGACAAAGGGAAAGCTATGCACGCATGGGCCGCCGCGTCACCCAAGGCCGGAGCCGCTGATGCTCATGACGCGCCCGGCATCCCGGACTGGGGACGCTGATGACTCCTGATGCGCGCTTGGGGCTCCCGGACTGACCCCGCTGATGCTCATGATGCGCTCCCCTTTGGGGGGTGTCCGGGGCTATCCGCACAAGAAAAACCATTCACCGGCGGCACGGCGGGGTCGTGGTTGCCCTGGCTAGCTGGTGGTCTCTGGATCCCGTAGGTAGCTGCTTCGCGACTTTTAAGTTTTTTTGCATTATACTTGCGTCTGAGCCTATATTTTCCACGAGTCCTGAACGCGCAGGGCAGCTTGAGCTTGTTGGATTCTCAAATTGTTCCGAATCAATGATCAGCATGGATCAGAGCTCGCGCAACACAAAGCTCTTGATGGTAGCGGCCAGGGCCTGCACAGGGGGCCTGGTCACCTCGGGTCCCGGGCAAAGATCTCGATACCTCTGAGCATTTTGGAGGATTCCGAAGTTGCGTACTGTAGCTGTAGCTGTGTTGCAGATGTTTGTTTTAAGGGCTGCGCCCATGGGAGGGCAGCGCAGGCAGAAGCTCGAGGAGAGTTATGCTGCAAACCGGGAAGGGGCGCGCCGCGCCCTCCCGCCCGGCGTGCGTCCCGACGGGGTCCTCTGTAGGCTTTCGTAGTCGGAACGCGCGGGTTTGGCGACAAAGGGAAAGCCATGCACGCGTGGGCCGCCGCGTCACCCAAGGCCGGAGCCGCTGATGCTCATGGCGCACCCGGCATCCCGGACTGGGGCCGCTGATGCTCCTGACGCGCGCCCAATGGGGCTCCCGGACTGAACCCGCTGATGCTCTTGATTCTCTGCCACGCTTCCGCCGCCATAAGCACCAATCACCAAACAGCACCGCAGCACGATTGGCCCCTCGCACCTCGTGCGCAGCTCAACATGTTGGTCATTTTCCTTCCTGGCCCAAGTGCAGATTTGCCAGATAAGTGTCAGACGGCGCCACTGACCTTCGAGGCTCACGTCATCGTGATAGCCACGATGACCATTATGGTAATCGTCACGCTTGGGCCACTGCTTGGGCGTTGCTTATCAAGGCACGTGCGTGTGGGCTACATAAGCAGTGCCGCATCGGGTTGCGGGACCCAAAACTTAAACCCTCGACCGGTTTTCCTCGCTTTTTGTGCGTGGGACGATTTACAGTAGCTTTCCCTAAGCCCAGAAACCCAACAACAGCGAGCTCTCATCAAGCTCTGCCCGTGATTAGCACACCACAAGCCCTCATGCCTGGAAACCTCTACGTCAAGTGACGTCAAGAGGTGTCAAATCATACGAGTGCTTGGGGACATGGATCACGCAAGAGTATTCTTGTTCTTTGCGAAGCACTTGAGTATCTGCACTGAGCGGCCGACTACTCAGGGCGAACAACGACTCTAAGGACATAACACAGACGGTGTGACTGCTGTTTTGCGTGTATGTTTACACCCAAGCATGCGAATTCATGAATGCGGGTCTGGACTTGTGCCAGGTCGACAGGTGGACAGGTTCACGAGGGCGCCACGGGGCCCTGGAAGCGGCCAATCGGTTGGAGAGGGGGAGATGCAGAGGGAGCTGAAAGAAGTCCTTCAGGTAAAGGGTTCAGGCACCAATCTGGCCGACAGTTGTTAGTTTCAATGCTTGGCCTGGAAGAAACCCCCAGCGCAAGTCTGGCAACCTCTGCCTACAGACAAGCCTTTGGCTTGAGACTTCGTACAGCGTTCAGAAGTTTGGATTTACATCAGGTGGACGGTTCTCACCGAATCCGTGAAATCACATGCACGCAACTCCGGCAAACTTCAAAGGCTCTGGAGGCATGCGTGCGAATATAGAAATTTCACGAGGGCTCCAAAGGGGCCCTGGAAGCCTCGCTCGCGCTGCCAGTGTGCCCAGGCCACCTCCGAACAGGTTGGTGGGACCCTGACGCTGCGGTTTAGGGCGCAGGGGTTTGGATTCAGGGTTCTTAGTGTTTAGTGCTTGTGCTGGCTTAGGATTTAGGGAGGAGTTTGGGGTTGAAGGGGTGGGTTGAGGTGTGGGGGTTGTGAGGCTTTGGAGGATCCAGGTGAGCAGGAAACCAATTCTTTGTATCCTTAGGCTTGAGGGCACCAAGCCGGCCTGTAAGCATGAGCATCGTCTTGTTCCAAATGTTCACCTGCAGTCCACACTCCAGCCTTTTGCACTCAGGCCCAGAAATGGGATGTGCTGATGATTCGGTCGCATGGGCGGGGGGCGGGGAAGGGGGGGGGGGGGGGGGAGGGGGGGGCGGGGGGGGAGGGAGGGGGGGAGGGGGGGGGAGGGGGGGGGGGAGGGGGGGGGGGGGGGGGAGGGCCTGAAGGCAGAATAAGACTCTAAGCACCAAAGCAGTGAGCTTCTAAAGACAACAGCGCGCCAGTATCCCAACCACAAAAACACGCCGATCCTTGCATTCTCTGGGGCACGCTCACTCCACCGAAAACGTCACACTACGGGCCCCAGCTTCTGAGGTTACGATGCGATCAGCATTAAACCCCAAGCTCTGACAAGGAGCCCCCCCCCCCCCGTCGCCCAACCAAAGACGAAGCCGAGGCCCATGCTCGCAGCAGATTCTTCTCGACACCTGGGCTCCAGTTTCTGGGCTCTAGAGAGTTAAGCCTTCGCTCAGGGTTCGGGGCTCGGGGCTTTGCATTCTGGCTTCTCTGTTTACAAATTTGGCACTAGGGCTGGGTGTGTGGGGTGTGGGGGTTTTGGTACGACGCAAAAGCATAAGCCTGCCCTTACACCACCTGAACAGGCCGGGGTAGGGGTTGAGCTGGTCAATGAGCTAACCCCAAAAGCTTCTGCATTGGGTTGAAGGTTTGCCCAATATGGGTGCAAGCCACAAAGGAAGCACGCGCGCGCTAAAGGGACGAGCCAAGCCCGATTGGTTTCCACAGCATCACGCGGGATGCAAACTGCGAGCAGACCGCTCCTCACAGTCCGGGCAGCGCATGTTGCATTTACCCAGCTCCGTTTGCCAAGCAAGGAGGCTCCGATGCTCAACTTCCGATCCCCGGCTCCTCACAGCCGCCAATTTGAAGAAATTCCGCGGGTTGAAAAGGGAGTCCATTCCTCGGCCTGGCAACGGACACTGCCCAAACAATGCGGGCATGAGCTGTTGCGGCTGGGCAAAGGACAGCGGCAGCCGGCGAAGTGGCACCCGCAGGAGCAGCCTAAACTGGAAATAGAGATAGACAACAGAGAGGGAGGTAGAGAGGGGGAGAGAGAGGGAGAGAGAGAGAGAGAGAGAGAGAGAGAGAGAGAGAGAGAGAGAGAGAGAGAGAGAGAGAGAGGTGGATAGAGAGAGGGAGAGAGAGAGAAAGAAAGACAGAGAGACAGAGACAGAGAGAGAAAAAGAGAAATAAAAAGAGAGAAAGAAAAAGAGAAAGAGAGAGTGAAGGAAGAATGAAAGCAAGAGCAGTGAGTGAGGGAGTGAAGGAGTGCAAAAGTGCAGGAGTGCAGGGGTAGCCTATGATCATTTTGCGCATCCCCCATGCAAGATTAAACAATTCGATCTTGAACGCTGCTCCCCCCTCGCCACCACGCCACCCTTCCAAAGCCTCGCTTCCTCGCTCCTGGCCCTCTCCCTTGAGCCTCGGCTCCGGTCATTCGACCCCCCGCCGGGCCAAGCTGTCGAGTCCGAGGTTTTGCACTTTCAAAGGATGACAGTCGGCTCCCAACTGTTTGGGGAAAAAGGTTGCCATGGCAAAAAGGATCTCGCACGACGAGTGCTGGAAGGCAAATGCAGCACAACAAGGGCACTGGCAGGGGTGATCGAACACGTAGACGAGCCTGGCACCTTCCGTTTTCGACAGGATTCCCAGCAAAGCAACAATGAAGGACTTTACACCAAATGACTTGCACACTTTTGGCCGAGCATTGGACAATGGCAGTCTGCAAAGTGTTTGGGCCATCCATCGTCGCCTAAAGCATTGCGACAACGTAGCCATCAACACTGGGCAGTTCCCGTGGCATGTGCACGACTTTCATGGCTCTGTGAAGATGTAGGTGGTCAAACCGGTTTCTTTCATATGAGCATGCTTTTTGAATTTTGCAGGGCTGACTGCCATGGAACGCGGGCCCAGCGAGGACTTCTTGAAAGCTTACGTTTGGTATGCAGGACACGTTTTCTGGACAATGAGTTCAATAAGCCCTGAGCGCGGCACTCCTGTGTTTGCTGAAGACTCAACTGCTGCAGGCCTGGCCAGCAAATCTTGATGCACCACAGCACTGCGTATGTAGCCCACACGCACGTGCCTTGATAAGCAGCGAAGCATGACGATTACCATAATGGTTATCGTGATCGCCACGATGTCGTGAGCCTCGAAGGTCACCGGGTCTGACACTTATCTGGCAAATCTGCACTTGGGTCATGAGTCCAGCCTCCATGTGATAGGATGCACCTGTCTTTCATGTTGACTTGGGAGCTGGTTCCACAAGAAGGAAAATGACCAACCTGTCAGCCCTTCTCCACCCTGAGCTGCGCACGAGGTGGCAGGGGCCAATCGTGCCAGGTGTTGGTTGGTGCTTGGTGCTTATGGAGGCGGAAGCGCGGCAGAGCAAGCATCCTTCAAATCATTCCTTGAAAACATTCCCGCCAAAACCGATGAACCCTTCAACCTGTCTTTGAGCGAAATTTTGTTGAAAGCACGGCTCTCGCATCTCATCAATTCAGGGCTGGACCCCTCTGAACACCCAGTGACGAAACCCAATTCTTCATTGCGTGCAATTGCAAATGTAGATTATGAACCCAATGCTTCACCATTTCATCCCAACTGCCACCACACAACTTGTTACCTTCTTCCACTCCTACCCCTCCACACATTAAATTGTATCCAAACGCTACAGTCACGGGTTGTCTTGGATGCCCGGCACCATCTTTGCAGCGTGTAAGGCCCTGGCACCAGCGTCTTCTACGAAGATCGCAGAGAGCATCACCTGCAGAACAGCAGGCAGAATCGGAAGAGCGGGCTAACAACACATGAAGCTGACAATCATCCACACCCTACGATGTCCGGATGTCTAACATTCGGCAGAGCTGGTGAGATCTTCTTCATCTGCTTTGCTCACCACCCCGGCTGCACCACCCACGAATCACCTTGAGGGGCTTCTTGGGCGAACGAACTTCATCTTATGTAACATGTACTTTGCTTGTTTTGTCCAGAATGTATCTTTACGTTTAGCACCTTTGCGGCAGGTGATGTTCATGCAGAAACAATACCACTTATTCGGACATAATTCCCAAGAGTGTTGGGCTTGCGAGGAAGTCCCGGCCTTCTCGGACCAGCTGGTTTGATCTGCACCCTTTCCTTAGCCAAACTCCCACTAATAGCAAGCAGATCGCATGCGGGCCCAGAGCGGGTGCAGAGCCTCAAGATCCTAAACTCTGAAGCGTCGACGTCTCGACATGAACATCATCGCGACCGCACGCAGGGCCTCCCCCTGATGACTCAGGCCACAGGGGAGAAGGTTGCAAACTAAAACTCCCGCAAGCTCGAAGGACCTAGCTTTCGTGAAAACATCCTCATCCGAATGCTTGCAAATATCCAAACAACCTCAGACTGTGGCGATTGCAAAATTTTCCCGGAGCTTGCCCAATTGTGGTCGTGATCGAAAGTCCTGTTTCCATGTCATGCCCGATGAAGCAAGGGTTCTGCGTTGGCTGCAAGAGTGTGCATAGGGGGCAGGAGTGCGGCCGGGCGAGGAGAGAGGTCCTACTAAGAGCTGCTAAGAGCATGAGGGCAGCAACAACAACATGCATTGCAGAGAATCATTGTCGCCCCCAGAACCCTCAACAAACGAACGTTCAAACAAGCTTCCGATTGGGAGGCTTGGTGGCGACCCGTTGATGCTGGGAGTCCGACCTGGCAGATCCAGGCACCAGAAATGCCGTTTGCGAGTACCGCACTCAGATGCTACGCACTCAGATGCTACGCACTCAGATGCTACTTCTTCATGCTCTCTGCACAAGTCACTCTGTGCTTGAACAGCACGCCACCTCTCTAGAGACAACAAGTGGACAGAATGCCCCTACGCCACCAGTCATCCAGAGTACCTTTCAGTGCGTTTCCCCGGTATACCCGGTATGCGCTGAGTTCTCTCCTGCAACGGTTTTCTGCAGAGGCCCTGGCTTCCGGACCGCGGCCGTCGTCTCGGGGTAGCTTCTTGTCCGATCTTCTCCTGGGCATGTTTTTGAGTATTTCAGGCCCGTTCCCCTGCCACCCAAAACCCCATGAAAGATGACCTCCTCATCACGGGGTTCTGGGTGGAAGGGAATGGGGCTGAAAGAGGGGGGCCTCATCTTTCGTACTGTTCTGGGCGGAAAGGAAATCATTCTCTCACGGCGCTCTGGGTGAAAGGAAAGGGGGCTGAAAGATGAGGCGATCCTCCCTGGCCAGGTTTTCCATGTCACATTCCGGTACAGCTGCCCGCCTCGGATTGCTTTTGCAGGCAACATTCCATGTCCTGACTGCTGTACTGCCTGAAAGATCTCCTACCTGCTGTCCTGAGCAAGTCGTGGCACATGACGTGGGCCACTTTTTCCTGAAACACAATTACCCCACTTGTCGGATGGGAAAAAAGGGGGCTTTTGAAAGGGAGGATAAAGGGCGGTGAGACGGCTCTCTGCCTAGTCTGAACTGGGGCTCCGCTCCGCGAGGCTAAGCGAACCTTTTGAAAGGCCACAAACACCAATGCTCCAACAGGAACCTTAGCGGTGCCCTACGCAAACCCTGTGCAGCTAACCTTCACCGCCGTCACCCTTGCTCTCCTCATCCGACGGCTCGACCGCCTCCAAGGCTGCCGGCAGCCGTGGCAGATCGGTCAAAGGCACCCAGTCCTGTGGGCAGGACGCCAAATTGTGAAGGGCGCCGTGTCGCCCAAATCTGTCAAAACATGAAACCATCCTCAGACCAAAATTCCCTTCATTCCAGGGCCCGACTTGGTGGCTCCCAGCCACACACCTCCAACCAAAACCCTCAAGGGTCTGGACGACGTGCCTGCAAAAAGAATGTGCCTGGCTCGGCTGGATCCTGCAAGGAAAAATGCTTGAGTTGAGCAGGGTTTATGCTGAAATCATTCGTGAAGAGCTCTTGTGTTCTGGATTCGCTGTAGATCGATGATCTAGGCCGAAGTATGACGTACATAGACTTGACTTTTATGAAGCTTCGCTCCACCTGCCAACATCCTCAGCAAACGAACGCCAGAACCCCACCCTCCTCCCTCGTCTACCTCAGGGCGCTACCAAGGGCGCGCCTCTCCGCAAGCTCTGAAGCAGCTTCGCGGAGCTCTTTCTCTCGCTCGGGTGCGCCTGGAGAGTCTGCGAATACTTCACTTTACTTGCTCTTTTTCAAATTTCTTTACGCAACGACTGTCAGACTTGAGGCACAATTGCGCGATATCTGTGGAGTGCGTGTGGCTTGCAACGCCGCCAGGCACTTCGAACTGACGAGGGCTCTTCATTTTCCTGTGAATACTGAATGCCCTCATGCGCCTGTCTGATGGTACCACATGCCCAAGCCGTTGGTGATGAGGTGCGCCGGAGCGGTTCCCCTGCAAAGAACAGAGCTGCGAAGAGAAGGCGAGGAAAGAAACAACCAGCAGATACCAAAGCGAACAGAGTCTGCGGTCTGCGGCTTCCAAAAGGATTGCACTGAAATTGAAAGCCTCGTCACCACCTCCTCCAGGGCAGCGCTTGCCCTGGCGGCTGCTGAGGCTCGACTCGCAACACTGATTGTTATGATTGTTTTCCAGCAACACCATAAAACCCTAGCCCAAACCCCAACAAGTTCTGCAAAGTCCATCTTCCGCTTCCATTCGCAAACAGTATATAAGGATCTCACATGAGAAAACCGTGGATCAAGTCTGGGTGGAGCGCAAGTCTGGCAACCTGATTAAAAACCACACCCTAAAACAGAACAATCCCCTACACGCATTTAGGCGTGCAACGGCCCGAGCAGTCTTTCGGTCATGAGGTCTCGCCCGAAGGCTCCAATCTGATGCGGCAAAGGCATCGCTCGGAAAACGGAGGTGTCAATCATGCCGCGTCGCAGGGGAAAACGGTGGGGCCCAGGCCGCGTTGGAAAAACGCTGAGGGTGTTCGCCGGAAAAGATGAGAAAAGTTTGGTCGTTAGGTTATAAGGTCCGAAGGCTGCGATCTGACGCGATGAAGGCATCAGCCAGAAGTCAGTCAGGCCGTGTCGAGAGGGAAAACGGTGGGCCTCGCACCCTAGGGTATGGACCCAGGAGAAACAATTTGATCGTTTGCTCGTCAGTTCGCAGTCGAAGGCTCCTAGTAGACTCAGGGAAACCAAAAAAAAGATGAGGAGAGTGCACATTGAGATTTCGAGCGATAAAAGAAGGTAGATGTACCACGAGCTCGCACTCTCCTGAATACTTAGGCCAACAAACTCTAGGCTCTCGTTTTGCCCTGACCTGGCAGCAGCTCAACTAAGAGAGTTGCTCTCAGAACCTTTATTTGTTAGCATCCGACACAGCAAATTTTGTCGGCGCAAGTGTCCTCAGGATCCGGTGCAGGGACTCCTCCACTTGGGCCTGGCTCGGGCGTTCGCTGAACGCTTTGCGACGAAGGTTGAGTTTTTTTCTATGTTTTGTTTTAGTTCAAGGGCATTCTCCCAGCCTTTCCAGACTTGCCAGTATGTCACACATTCAACTTCACGCTCTGGAAAAACAGAGGAAGGATGCTGCCGGAGCTTCATGCACAAGCACTTGCAAAAGCAGCAACGCAAACCCAAACATGGACATCCGCTGGCATGGGGACCTCGTCATCTTTCGAGCTCGTCAGAGAACAGAGCAGCTTTCGGGCCGCCAGCACCTAAGCCCCATGCACGCTGACAAACATCACAGTCTCAAGCCATCGACCACTATTGAGGTGGACAGCGGCAGCGTGAATACTTGTTCCTAGGGAGGGTACAAGCTCTCGATAGCCCAGGCTGGGCTCATCCAGGGCTGTCGTGACGGAATGCTTGAGGTTTTAACCGCGTTGGATTCACAATTGCCTGGAACGTGTGTGTGTGTGTGTGTGTGTGTGTGTGTGTGTGTGTGTGTGTTTAGGGGTTCTGAACTGAGCTCGACGGCTTCTGGTGTTTTTTGGGGGACAAATTCTTTGCATGGTTTCTGGTCTTTTTTTTTTTTTTTTTTTTTTTGGGGGGGGGGGGGGCGATTTCATTGCATGACGGCTTCTTGTCTTTTGTTGCCGTTGTTGTTGCCGTTGTTGTTGTTGTTGTTGTTGTTGTTGTTGTTGTTGTTGTTGTTGTTGTTGTTGTTGTTGTTGTTGTTGTTGTTGTAGTTGTAGTTGTAGTTGTAGTTGTAGTTGTAGTTGTAGTTGTAGTTGTAGTTGTAGTTGTAGTTGTAGTTGTAGTTGTAGTTGTAGTTGTAGTTGTAGTTGTAGTTGTAGTTGTAGTTGTAGTTGTAGTTGTAGTTGTTGTTGTTGTTGTTGTTGTTGTTGTTGTTGTTGTTGTTGTTGTTGTTGTTGTTGTTGTTGTTGTTGTTGTTGTTGTTGTTGTTGTTGTTGTTGTTGTTGTTGTTGTTGTTGTTGTTGTTGTTGTTGTTGTGTGTTGTTTGTTGTTGGTGTTGTTGTTGTTGTTGTTGTTGTTGTTGTTGTTGTTGTTGTTGTTGTTGTTGTTGTTGTTGTTGTTGTTGTTGTTGTTGTTGTTGTTGTTGTTGTTGTTGTTGTTGTTGTTGTTGTTGTTGTTGTTGTTGTTGTTGTTGTTGTTGTTGTTGTTGTTGTTGTTGTGTGTTGTTGTTGTTGTTGTTGTTGTTGTTGTTGTTGTTGTTGTTGTTGTTGTTGTTGTTGTTGTTGTTGTTGTTGTTGTTGTTGTTGTTGTTGTTGTTGTTGTTGTTGTTGTTGTTGTTGTTGTTGTTGTTGTTGTTGTTGTTGTTGTTGTTGTTGTTGTGTTGTTGTTGTTGTTGTTGTTGTTGTTGTTGTTGTTGTTGTTGTTGTTGTTGTTGTTGTTGTTGTTGTTGTTGTTGTTGTTGTTGTTGTTGTTGTTGTTGTTGTTGGAGATGTTCAATGCCCTCATTTTTACCTCCATCGGGACGATTTAGTCTACGACACTCAGCCTCAGCCTACCTTCTCTTGACTCTCGTGTAGAGGTCCCCTCCTGAGAGACAAAGGACGCTGTTAACACAGCCCACTTTTCCTACTTCTCGACCCTGGCGCGCACAGAATCTGCCGGGAAAGAGTTCCACTAAATTGCAAACCTAGCTTCCCTACCACAGCTAACGTGTTCCTCTCTATAGTCCAAACCGAGGCTGTGACTCCTCGACATCAACTGCTTACCTGTGCCGGCCGCACAACAGGCCCTCGACCGCTTTGGCAAGACCTAGTACATTCCTTGTTAATTTTCATGACTGACCGAAGTTCCAACCTAGTTTCGGCACTAGCCGCTCTGCTCACGCTGATCTCCGAGCTGACAGCCTCTAAGCTAAATCCCTCTCATCGAGCAATGGCAAACATCCCGGAGGGCACGATTCTCGCCATCGAAAACGCCCCGGGCACCTACACCCACACGACGTCTAGCCAGGCCAATGCAGCCCAAGCCCTTGCCAAGGCAACGGCACCTCCGCCTACTCAACCATCATGCGGTGCCGGCTGCGACCAATGCCACAGTGCCCCGTGCATTCGACACAAGCCAGGACATCTATGGCATTGCTGCTTTGCGTGCAGGGACTCCTGGGCGGTGCAACAGGCCCGCTCCAGGTACTGGTAAACTGAGCAGAGAATGGCTCGACATTTTGCGACCAGCAAGTGAGGTCTCCTCCTGCAGGTAAAACGCAGCTAAGCAAAATTCATAGCTGCACGCCGTCGATAGAGCCAGCTGATTTCCGAGAAAATAGTTCCTTGAATCCATGCCAGCCATAAGAGCCTCAAATCTTGTCTCTTTTTCAATAGCGCCTGCACAGGATTACTTACGCCGAGCCAAGTCCTCAGAAGGCCCTTGCTTTTCAATAGAAGTAATAAGTTTCATGAGCCAAACCTCATATTCCGATCAGACTCTGTGCTCAAGATCGTCGACTCGACGCCTCCGGTGCCAGGCATCTAGGACCATGCCTCCGAGGAAAAGACAATCGAAGGCCTCGACCATGCCTTCGTTCGACCTCGCCTCTAACATTTGCACAGAAGCTGACAGGCTGCTACCTTCGAACTATGTCCCCATCTCGCACAAGAGAATGGATGAGATCAGGAACTACCGATGGGAAAAAGGTCTCAGGGCCATTTCCAGAAGCATGATGGCCCGCCAGTCTACAAGGCCAGTCTCGAGCCAGAGACAAGCAGACAAAGAAAGCAAGCGGCTGGAAGAGCTTGGAATCAAAAAGCCTGGACTAACTGCTGAGGACTTAGCGGCTCTCCCCACCTCGGAAGTCTACAAGAATCTCTCAGCGCTCTCCTTGATTTCTGTGGATACTTCCCAGCCGCTAAGCTCCAGCGTGAGGTCGCCTCCGAGGAGCGGACAACGGGAAGCGAAGACAGAACCATCCTCCTCATCCGCGGCCAAAGTAGACGTGGAGAAGATCTCTTCGACAGGGCCATCCAAGGAGCACACGTCACAGCCCTACGCGGGACAAGGAGTGGGCAGAAAAGAAACCTGCAAGGAAGACTCGGACTCGGACATACCACCTTGGGCGGACTCGAAGAAGTCACGCTCATCCCAGTACACAGGTGCAGGAGTCGGTCAAAAGGAGGCCTTCACCAGGCAGCCGCCCACACCTCCATCTCCTCCCACAAGAAGATCAGCCCATGACCAGGGGAACGTGGATGCCACGGCACGCCTCTCCCCCAAAGAAGAACTCAAGGTGATCAACCTAACGCAAGCCGCTCCTCCTCCTCGAGAATTCTTGAATTACCCGGTGCATCAAGGAGTGATAGTGCTTCCAGCGGCCACAGTTCAGGCTCGCGTGGCCAGCAAAAAGGAACAGGACAAAGGCAAGTCGGTCATTCACTCCTTCCCCTACTCTTACCCGCAAGAGTTCCCTTTGGATCTGGATGTCCATGTGCAGATCCAGAAATCGCAGGAGGAGCAAGTCAGCATGACTCTGAAGCTGAACAGAACCGCATCCATGAAGGGCGTCACCCGAGCGGTATACAACTTCAAGGGAGGCGAATTCTACTCTGTCTTCAAGCTGTCAGTGGTCGCCCCCCGTGAGGAGCAAGCCCAAGACGGACTTCAGGCCCACGAAGCGGAGCTTGACCTGGCACACGTCTTTCCAGAGATGGTCCCAACGGTGGCAAACGTCTTTGCCATTCAAATCAGGGTGGCCTCAGCGGTCAATCCCCTAGACTTCCCCAGGTCTCCTACGCCGAGTGAGGTCTCCTCCTGGCGAGGAGACTCGGGCCCACCGAAGTACCTTCTCTATCAACAGGCATACGGCATAATGGTGGAGAAAGTTCAGCCGCTGGACAACCTTCCAGCCCATCTACGCCCCAGTATGGACGAGTGCTACCTGCTGATCCTCCTGGTTCTCAAGTCGGCCCTCCTGGGCTACTATGTACGTGATTGTGGATGGGGCAACCTAGGCAGGAGAATTTCGCCAGAATCAAGCACTGATCTACCTTTCTTCCTCGCTCTTGACACGTCGGCCTGGCACAAACGTGACCCTCCCATTCCTCATCAAGCCACAACTTCTACGGCAGATCATGTCCGAGGACTCTTCTCGGCTCTCGAGTACTTGGCAGAGGACAAGCCGGCCATCCAGGGAGCCAAACAAGCTTTCACGTACCATCACCGACAGGTCCCTCCTCTTGTACAGCACTTCTTCTCCCTGCTCAGAAATCAAGCGGGGAAGGAGAAAGCAGAGAGAATTTTCAGAGATACATCTCTAGCACTCTCGGCTGAAGTCTGGGACGCCTTCACCTAACTTCCATTCTGCAGGCCTTTTGTGTGAGGTCCCCTCCTGAAAAGGTCGGCCGGGAAAAGCAACCGGCATAAGCACACCCGCCAGAATCTTGACCCTTGTCAGTGAAGGGACAAAACCGGCTGACTGCTTCCCATGCAAAGCCTACTACCACTTTCAGCTGTGC